AACCACATCAGATGTTATCGCCGGCCCTCTAGCGCAAATCAAAAGGACAAACTTTCTCAGAGTCTACTTTCCCTTCAACCCAAAGGAGATACCTAACTGTCTTCGCAAGTCAAGGATCATTTGATGGATGGTGATTGGAGGATAAAGTGCTGTTCTTTTTAGTTCTCAGCCCCTACAGGATAAATTGCTAAAGTTTCTACATTAATCAGCAGACCTGGAGCAGCCCATCCCTGTATACAAAACATATTACTCCTGTATAGCTTTACGACCACATTAAAATATTTAATTTTAAACATGATAATTCATACTTGGCCTTGTGGGACTTCATCTCTTTTGTCTCTGTCCATCATGGGAATAGGCTGTATACCCAATTTCTTCATTTCATCACCCTAAGATAAAAGGAGAACAAAATCATACTTTCTCAATTCAAAAATGGTCCTAAAATTTTGGTATTAATGAGCTATTTCCTTTATTCATTAATTGTCTTTAAAATAGTATTTTTGTTTATTGACCCAAGAAACCTGGCATATTAATGAAAAATTGAACGTATCATTGTTGGGTATTTTATCCTGATGTTCTCCTGTCCTGAATGTCCAGAGATCCAGCCATCTCTTCTGGTCTCATTTTGCAGAAGTTAGTAAATTTACAAAGAGAGGAGATAGAGTAAGCAGTGATAAAGAACAACAACCAAGCACTGAAGAGCCTCAAGGCCTTTCTCACTTCTCTTCTTCAAATGGTTTTTCATCCGCACTGAACTAGGTGCAGCCAGGCCCCTGAAAGGCCGACTGACGGAGCCTATCCCATAAAGCACCACGGTAACGGTCTGCCAAGCTGTGGTGGTAAAGACAGAGTATTACTGGCTGCACATTATCATAAAATTTACAATTGTGGGTTCTGGCTAAGTAATTTGTATACTATATTTTATTTAATCCTCACTTAATACTACAAGATACATATTGTTACCCCTATTTTATAGTTCTAAAATAATCTTGCCCTTTTTATTTATTTGTTAAAGTTAGAGCTTCCTATATTTAGGAGATAAGCTGGTAAACCTTGATGATTATATTTCTATTCTGTCTCCTCTCATGAACAGTGAGGTCCTTGAAGACAAGGCTTACGAGAATCCTAGGATGTTAATAAACCTTTATTCACTGAACAATATGAAGAATATGAAGTAAAAAAAATCTACTTTGCAGATCTGTCATATTTTTGTGCATATTTTGAATACAAATATACTTGTTAAAGTACAAAATATATCATAGTTAACTGCAATTATTTTCAAAACAACAAGCTAGCTTCAGTCCAGTTTTCCTACGTGATATTTGTAGAATGTACTCTAAAGTGACTACTTGGAGACACACATGCCAACTACGATGACTAATAATAAAGTCGAGTATTACAGTGCAGACATGCATCTAGACAGTCTTTCTAAATGAGTGTGACCATAACTAGGTTTTGATACACACAATACAATTCAGAGAAAAGAAAAGCGTGCAAGAGCAAATCAGACAATGCATAAGGCATCCTGGAGAAATAACCGCCTGAGTGTAAGGTCAAGGTCTCAGTTCTCAGGCAATCCAAATTCTCTGCTTCACTGCTGGAACAGCGCACCCTTATAACCCATTTCTACTAGACTCGTAGCTGAGCCATGTGCTGCTCTTTCCGCCCATCCTCCAAATTTATTTTCATTTCTTCAAACCAAATCAGGTACCTGTAAGTATTTATAGGGTTTTTTCTTGTTTGTTTGATTTCCCGTTAAGGAATCTTTGAATATTCAGGGACCCAGTCATTTGAGGATTCATTAAAACTAGTAAGAGAATTATATTCTACTTATTTATGGACAATTCAGAATACAAATTGAGGAAAACAAAGCACATTACTGAAAATTTAGATAATTAAGTTAAGGAAAGGTTTTAATGAAAGCAATTGGCATGTTTGTTTCACATGTCAGGACTCTCCAGAATTAATATCCCACATATTCTATTACATGGAGGCCTGGTGGCGCAGTGGTTACGAGCTTGGCTGCTAACCAAAAGGCTGGCAGTTCAAATCCACTAGCGGCGCCTTGGAAACCCTATGGGGCAGTTCTACTCTGTCCTACAGGGTCGCTATGAATTGGAATCCACTCAATAGCAATGGGTTTTTTTTTTGTGTGTGTGTGTGTTTTATATTCTATTAAACTCATCATTTGCAGTTGGGTTGACAATTCGGTGTACTTACATACCCTCGTGTGATACGAAATGATTATTATCCTGAATTCCTAACGGCAGGCACAGATAGCCCAGGAGACTGTGGGTCCTGCTATACACTGAGTATATACCTTAAAGACGGCCAGCAGCAATGCTTGCTGAATGGCTAAGCAGAATCGGCTGTTAAGTGAGGAAAACTGCTGTACAACTGTTCAGAGAATATGCTCCTAAACTCTCTCAGTTGAGATCAGAGAATTACACACATGTTCAAGTGAGATATACTAAGATGCTTGTTCTTACTCTACGTTCGACAATAACTGCTAAATTCTGCCTCACATGAACAGAGTTTTTTTAAAAAAATAATTAGCAACATGAGCAACTAAGGTATTGCTAATATATTACCCACTTATTTAATTTCTCCTCAAATCTTTTCCCATTTCTTGATATTATGTACGTTCATATAAAAATCAAGGACATACCTCAGCCCAAAATTCTGCATATATGTCATTTGCTGTCAGTTTTGTAACTGGCCACAGTTTTGTCACAGAACAAAGATCACAGGCGGTCATCATCAAACCAATTACACGGTCTCTAGAACACAAGCATATAACACTGGTCAGCTCAATATCTGCACATCTGTCATGCAACTAACAAGGCTTCTATATTTTCAGGAGTAAGATTTAAAGTCTGTATTACTTTATGATGGCGGAAAGACAGCATTAAAGAGAGACATGGCTCGCAGGCAGGACATGTAAGGTGGGCTTAAAGACTCAAGGCATTGTAAGAACCTCAGTCACTCCTATCTCTAGTTCTATGGAGACAGCGTATTGCCTGCACCTGTTACCCGAGTACCACTGTGACAATCACATAGAATGGGCCTCAGCTCTCTCATAGTCTAAATACCCTGGATATGCTTTTACAGCCATGGACTAGACTTTCATTTTCTTGGAATTTGAGAATTTAGAGTGGGAAGGAGGCTTTAAGAGAAAGTCCTTCCCAATCCTTTTATTCTTTGTAAGGAAAATCTGAGGTGCCAAGAAATTAAAGGACTCATCCAAGGTGATGCTAGCTGTGACAAGGTCAGAGTAGAACCTGAGTGCCCAGCGGGCAAAGAAATTCTGCAATAGGGTGTTCTGTTTTCCGCGTATCGAGCATTTCTGTTCGGATGCTAACCTAACTGAAATGAGTCTTCTTTTTCAGCTCCTTTGCGTTTACAACTAGGTGCTCCAAGTCTGACCTTTTTTTTCTTCTAAAGATGGTTATTACCAACTACAAGGCCTTGAGATACACATTGGGTTAAATATGTGGTTTAATCTTTCATCTTGAAAAAAAAAAAAAGTAATTGCTTAAGGAATTCAAACAGACATGTACCCCTGTAAGTTTAATGGATGTCAAAAGACTTGTGTTGTTTAGTGAAACATGATTCCCTAAACAAAGTCTACACTTAAGGGAGCAGTAAGCACCAGTTACTAAGGGACTTCAATGCACTAACAGTAACTTTTATAAAGCACATCGCATGATTTTAAAAGACAAATTCTCAACACGTACAAAACGGGGCAACAAGTGAGCAGATGCTATCGTTTCCAGCTCTTGTCCAAATGCTAACAAGTCTCAGGAATTCCCTGCTGCTAGCCACTTGCTTACTTCTAGGTCCACAGATATCTTCCATTTGTGGAACCCTAGTCCCTGAGCCTGCCTGGCCAGGGCAGACAGTGTATTAGGAGCATCTACTATCCTATTGAGGAGTCCTGGGGTGGGGCAAACAGTTAAGCATTTGACTACTAGCTCAAAGCTAGACGGTTTGAACCCACTCAGAGGCAAACTGGAGGAAAGGCCTGGTAATCTGTTTCCAAAGGGCCACAGCCTTTAAAATCCTATTGGAACATAGTTTTACTCTGCACACAAGGGGTTGCCATGCCTCGGAATGGACTCAACAGCAAGTAGCAACAACACCTGAGTATTCTGGTAGAGCTTCTGTTCACTTGTGCTCCCTAGAGTGAAGATTCCTGGATACCTGGGGGGCCCTGCTCCTCGTTCCTCGCCACGACGTCTTTGTTACCAGTCAGCTGTGGAGTTCTTTTTCATCAGTCCATTTTCTTCAGCCCATTTGACTAACTAAATTATCTCTTTCACAACTTTACTTCTCATATGGACACATATCAAGACGGCATCATGCCTCTGCCACGCTGGTGAGACTTATGGGTACCCTTCCTGGAAATCAAAACTGCTGCCACATGAAGGTTCACGTCCCTTGAAATGGTCAGGGGACTAGAAGATTCTCTTGATGAAGTAGTTTGCTAAGCACATTGGGGTTTAAAGCCAGTGTTATTTTTTTCTTGGCTCTGGTTTATAAAGGAATCAGTATATTGTTTGTTTTCTCAACAGGTAAATCCAGTTAAACAGAAACAGAACATGGAAAAACAAATATTACCCTGTTTATAAATCATTATTTCATGATTAGTTCAATCTCATGAAAAAATTATTTACAAACAGAGTAATAGTTTGGACATTTACCAAAATAAATAAATAAATAAAACAACATTAAATTTTCTTGGCTAAATAGTCTCGTAAGTTTTATCTCAAGAATATTTTGAATCTCATACCTCTGTAAAATAGAAATATTAATGGAACTAGGCATGTGGCATATAGAAGCAATTTTCTCACTGGAAAGCCATTCCATATGAAGCTGGGATAACAAGGGTTGGGAAGATTACGAACTAGTTACCATTTGGATTTTGCTGTCAAAATTACTTAGACAAAACAATTTAACAGTGGCTATTTTAACATTGACCTAAATAAATAAATAAATAAAACAGATTAGAGACCTGGCATTAAATGCCCTTAATAAACATCATTAATCAGTTTTACTCTTAATTACAAATCAGTTAGGTGGTCATGATTACCTGAGTTAGGCAGGGATTGGAATTACCATTTTATTTCTGTTGGGAATGGAAAGGAGGCCTAACTGTTAACCAGTTTTCAAAGGGCCCGCATTGTATGCTAAACACACTCTTGGTGTCACTGGGGAGAAGCCAGTCACTAAAAAC